CTTTCCATAAAATCTCCTGTGTGAGTAATTCCGTGAGATAAATTCACAATACGAAAGGTGTGATCAGTTAGTTGGATCTAGGATTTGGGGTACAAATAAAAAGTGGCACATCTCTATCAAAATATGAAACCCAACCTCTTCTGCCTATGCCTCTTCTGCCTGGCAGGGTCAAAACAGACACCAGGGGAAAGGCTCCCTGGGGTGTGCCAAGATTCTTGTAAGAATATTCTATAACTTGACTTATAAGCTGTCTTGATAGAAGCTGAAGGAAATCTGTCTTATGTGGGGAGGCCAAGGAAGTAAGGATTCTTTTTTAAATAGTCAGGTCTCTGTGACTCTCACCTAGATGCCAGGCTAGTAGAATGCCTTGTCTGTACCATCGGATCTCCTGGATGTCCAGGGTTCCAAGGGCCACAGCTCAGTCGTCCAGAGCACCCTTGGTGTCCACGGATGGTAGAGAAAGGCGAGGAATCAGTGACAAGAGAATCCCGATGTTCCTACTCAGCAAGTGAAGAATCACAGTGCCATGCTAGCTGAGAAACCTCTCACCCGGGACTTTAAGAATGGTGTCCTCACACTAGTTGCTTTTACCAGGCTGGTGGGTGCCCATTAATTTTGCAGCAAAATAAAGGACAGAGAGAATGTTTGTGAAATGTCTGCAGTCTGTCTGAATCCCCACGGGTAACAGAGAATTAAATCAGTAGCACTGGAAGAGAGAGAAGAGAGCAGGCAAAAAAAGGAGAACATTCAAATATCAGAGGCCCAGGTAGGGTTCTGTGTCTGATCTGTATAGTGCTTAGTGAGGAATGACTTTCCCAACTGTCCTACTGGACCCATTCATCTTCTGCTGGGTCTCAGCAACTACCCCTGAGGGCAGGGTAGAATTGCCCAAGCTGCTGGGAGAGCAGCCCATTATGTGCACCTCCTGGACAGCCTCTAGGTGATTTATGTGTACAGCTTTTCAGAGACCACAGCCCGTCATACAATGACAAAACTATTTTTCAGCTGGGAGATGGGTCAGGCCCCTTAACTGGTCTGGTCACTGGTTTATTCTTCCACAGGAAGGCAGTTGCCCTTTGGCATTTACTGACTATCCTGTGCCCTTTGTGTGGCCTCTTCGATGGCTCCAAAGGGAAGGAAATGTTTAACAAGAGGAGCATATTAAAGAATGAGAGCAGAGGAAAAAATTTGTGCCTCTCAACTCACACCTCAAATCCTGCAAGATACTAGATGAGCCCCCAATATGACCTCAGTTTGTGCTGTTAATTTAGCCCTTGAACCAGCACAGGTTCTTGTCCCACAAAGCTGTGAAAATCACAGATTTTTTAGATAAAATATCACAGATATTTTAGATAAGTAAGCAGAGAGAAACAAATTTTAAGAAAGTGAAGTTTATTTAAAGGAAGAAAGCAAGGAACTTGCAGGTACATTGTACCTGGGAGAGGCAAGGAAACTGTTCTGGCCCCATGTTTAGGGGCATTTAAACTCCCCCCCACCACCACCACCTTATTCTCTGTTCTAAAATCTGTTATCCTCTTTATGATTGGCTCTCTTTCCTAGTGGCTATACTCCTCTGGGCAGATGTGCCCATTCTCCTATTTCTTATCTCAGTTTCTCTTGTTAACTCCCCTGTCCAAACTCTTAAAATTCATTGTCCTCGTTAGCTCTTCTGAATTTCTCTATCCTTGTCTCAGAAGTCTCCCTTAACTGTCCTGAAGTCCCTGCCTGTCCTTTCCCTGAAGCTGCCTAATTCACTCTAACTTGCCCTGACACTAATGTTGGTATTTTTCTGCCTTCCTATAAATCTATTTTCATTTCCTTCTGCTCATTTGGAAGTTCTCTTCTGCTATTTCCTTGAATAGTTTCTAATTCCTTTGTCTCCTCTCCTTCTGTGATTCTAATAACTCTTGTACAGATTTCTTTTCCTCAAGGTTGGTCAGATAATTCTCATAGTGTTCATTGTTATTCCTTTGTTCTTCTCTTCCTTTTACCTCTATCATTGTTTGTTGTTTTTTTTTTTTCATATCTCTTCGTTGAGTATTGATTCTTCCATTTCATCTATTCTGTTTTTGTTACTTTTCCCATAATTTTTAGTTCCTCCATTGAACTTTTAATACCCTCTGCTTCCTTTATTTTCTTATTCAGAGATTCAGTATTGTTCTTCCTTTTCTTTCTCCTTCTTTTTAGTTTTTTAAATAAGGCAGTTTTGAATTCTTTATCTCTCAGGAATAAAAATTCTTTCATTTCACTGTCATTGGGTTTGGGACATCGGTTTTCTTTTATTGGCATTTTGTTCCCCAGAGGGCTTCCTTGACTGTATTTTTCTTCCTCCCCATTCTTTGCTTTCAGGTGTGGGGCCACAGGGCCAGTGGTGCTGATGGGCATGACTTCTGGGCTCTCTTACAAGGGCTTTGTATGCTTGAGCCCAGGTCTGCTGTGGCTGGAGGTGGTTTGGCTGTTCCTTTGGCCTCCCCCTCAATTCCCACCAAGTACCATTTCTGATGGGTGGTGGATTAGGCAGATAGGTGGTGGCTCCCATGGCACCTCTTAGGCAGACCTCTGCTGCTGATGAGTGGAATGTCCAAGGCACACTTACTTGGGCATGGGTAGGTCTGCACGTTGTCTGGGCTGTTGTGGCTTCCAGGGGCAGGGACTCTTGTAGCTTCTGTCCACTAGATACTTTGGAGTATCCAAAGATCCACAATGTTAGGACTGGCACCAGGAGGCAGGGGCTGGCACCATGAGGGCATCACAGTATAAGGCTCTAGCTGTGGGCCTCCCCGGTGGCGCAGTGGTTGAGCGCTGGGTTGCGAAGCTGCCCGCGACCTCTGTGGCGCCGGTTCGATCCCCGGCTGCTCCCCGGCCACCTGAAGAGGGTCCCACATGGCGAGCAGACCTCTCCTGCCGCCCGCTGCTCCCCTCAGCAGTGTACTTCGTCCATCTGCCTGCTCTGCTCCCCGCTCTGGCTCTGGTGAGTTCTCTCACCCTCCCGCGCTTCTGACTGTACCCAGTGCATGTATAAACAAACAAACAAACAAACAAACAAACAAACAAATAAATAAAACATACCTCTATTTTTAAAAAAAAAAAAAGGCTCTAGCTGTAACACTGTCTGCTGGTGAGTACAACAGGTTGAGTAGGATACATTTCCTGGGTATTTGGGGACAGCTGAGAGTCCCATGCAGGAATAGCAACTTAAGGCTTCAGTTGTGACCTAGTATACTTGGAGGTGTGGTCTCTTCAGTAGTGTAACTGGTACTTTGTCAAGATTGTGGTTCAGGAAAGTAAAAAAGAAAAAAGTTTGTGGCTGAGTGTTCTTTCTGCTTAAGAGGTACTGGTGACTATTGGACCTGATTTGCTAAGTGGTGCCAGAGGACTGAATGGTTATGTATATTCAGGGGTACAGTTGCTTAATCTTCTTCAGTTGGCTGAGAGTTCATTTTAGTCCTCTTCTATAGTTTTTAGGAGAGAGGTTGATCCCAGCCTCACTATTCTGCCATATTGTGGGTAGAGTACCTATTTTTTAAAAAAAGTTTTTGCAAGTTTCATATTGCCAGTGTGGGTGAAATAGGGTTAAGGTTTGTACTATGCTTCTAACGTTTTTCTCTTTTTCTTTCATTCTGTTTGTGTGTTACTGGTAATATTTGAAAACTTATAATAAAAAAGATATACCAAATTTTTATCCAGTGAGTTATTAGTAGCCACTGGATTATTTAAAAAAAAAGCTTTCTATTTTGGAAGAAAAGTTCCATTTAGTTAACCCCAAGTTCCATCAATCAGACTTTTTAAAGAGAAATTACAAAAGTCAAATTATTTTCTTAAGTCTTCAAAAAGGACTAGTCCTACCATATGAACTTCTTGATAAATTTTAACTTAAAATACTTTGGTTTATCTTTCTAAAATCTTAACAAAAAAATTTGTTAATAAGTTACCAGAATTTATTTTTTTAAAGATTTATTTTTATTTATGCATACAAAAACTAGTGGAGCTACTGAAATACACTGCTGAGGGGAGCAACGGGTAAGACAAGAGAGGTCTGCTGCACCATATGTGGGTCAGCTCCCTGGCCAGGAATCAGTGACTAGCAATAGCGCTGAGACTTTATCCCTGAGCCACCAGGAAGGCTCAGTTACTAGAATTTAAATTAAAACTTAACTAATAATTTGGTCTTTGTATTGGTGCTGGTGGTGGTTTTGGGTTTATAAGAAAAAGGGACTTCTCTCAATTTCTAATGTATAATAGAAGGCACAAATCTTTGTACTCTGCTGTGTTGGAGAAAGGTTCTTATTTTTCACCACTTGACAGTTTGTGGTTTTAGAAGTAGCTCAGTGTAATTCTGTAATCAGTTTTCTTCTTTAAGATTTCTTGATAACTTTTCAGGAAGAAGGAAAGAATCTAAATACTCTTATTGAGAGAAAATGTAAAAACAGTTTATGTGTAATTTGGAATAAACTTCTGTACTTTAAGAGTAAGTTTAAGTATATAGTATGTCTCTTTAAATAAATCTAGACTCCTCACCATTAATTTTTTTAAGAAGTGCCCATTAAATTTCAGAGTCCTTGTTGTTGAAGTATTCAATTTTTATTGCAGTATACAATCCACTCTTTTTTAAATATTCATTTATTTGTTTGTTTGTTTGTTTGTTTATTTATTTATACAAGCACTGGGTATTAGCAGAAGTGCAGGAGAGTGAGAGAATTCACCAGAGCCAGAGCGGAGAGCAGAACAGGCAGATTGATGAAGTACACTGCGGGGGGGAGCATCGGGTGGCAGGAGAGGTCTGCATGCCATGTGGGACCCTCACCCGGCAGCTGGGGATGGAACGGGTGTTGCAGAGTCTGTGGGCAGCTTTGTAGCCCAGCGTTCAACCGCTGCACCACTGGGGAGGCCCAATCCACTTCTTATTGAAGTACACTGAAAGCATCTTTTAATCTTTTAAAATTACTTAATGTATGTAAGACAGTATGAAGCTTCATTATATATTATTTATTCTTTTTTAGAAATAATTTAAATTTCCTGATGAGTTCTTGGTGGCCCAACCTTGAAGATCTTTATGAAGCAAATGTTCCTGTGTATAGATTTATTCAAAGACCTGGAGATTTGGTCTGGATAAATGCAGGCACTGTGCATTGGGTTCAGGCTGTTGGCTGGTGCAACAATATTGCTTGGAATGTTGGTCCACTTACAGGTATTTTAAACAGTACAATAACAGATTTTACATTTTAAAGGATTCTTTTTAATAGGTATTATTTTTCTACTAGAAAATAACTGACTTAAAATTGAAATATTGTGTGTCCTCACAAGTTTCTAATTGTTATTGCAGAAAGTAAATTCAAATTAGGATAGGCAAACAAGAACATACTTTGTCAAATGACATGAATATGCCTTTGTAGATATAGAAATTATACTTTTGATATTTTGGTATATTATGTGTTGACGTAAGAGAAGCCTTTCAGTGGGGAAAGGAAAACAGAATAATTCCTCTTTGGTGTGTTTCATGAGAGTATCTTAGTATGGAAGTTCTATTTAATATGTGTAAGGTGACAAATCTGACCTTTGGAACCAGAAAGAACTGAATAAGTCTGTGACTGTGGGCAGAATTTTCAGCCTTTTAAGGGCCTTGTTTTCTTCATCTACAAAATGAGAACAATAAAGTAAAGAAGTATTTGCAAGGATGGAATAAGTTGTAAAAATTGCCTCACATTTTATCCATGATGAATTTTTGTAACTATGATTATTATAAAATAAAAACAATCTTATGGTGTTTTGAGGTTTTCAAATAGATGTTACTGTTTTCCTTGGTGGGTGGTTATGATAATTATACTACTTTGGGTTGCTTTATAAATTTAAAAGGTTTTGTTTTGTTTTGTTTCCTCATAGCCTGCCAGTATAGATTGGCTGTAGAACGGTATGAATGGAATAAATTACAAAGTGTGAAATCAGTGGTACCCATGGTTCATCTTTCCTGGAATATGGCACGAAATATCAAAATCTCAGATCCCAAGCTCTTTGAAATGATTAAGTAAGTACTTTTTGTAATTACTATAGTTTTATTTTTTAAGAAGTGAGGAGTCTTACTAATCAATATTTTTTCCCAAAAGATTTATATAATCTCACATGAAATGACAAAATGTTTCAGTATTCTGACAAAATGCAATATGAATTTACATGTAAAAAATATTTTCTTCCTTTCCAAATAGACTGGTTATTATGGTATGAAGATGAATGAAAAGGGGTATACAACATTTTGTAAAAGCAAGTTCAAATTGTTGCTTACTTCTGTGTTCTAACCAAGCTGATATTAGAAATCTACAATAATAGGGTGATATTTCAAGAAATTTTATCTAATAATTCAACTAACATGGTTAAATTTTCTTTTAAATAATTTCCCGCTTTCTTAACTTACTTATTACAAATTTAATTTTGATTACTTGTGGTCTAGAATCTTCTCAATTGTAGGCCTTGATTCTGTTCCATTTTATAAGTGTATTTAGAATATATATTTTCAAACAACTCACAGTTTGCATATCTTTCTTTCCCCTCCCCACTATATTTAAGATTTTAGTCTCACAAATTCTTCAAAGAAAAATTGTAAGGCTGTAGGGTATTATGACTTGCATTTTGTTTTCAGGTGATTCATTCTTTTTTTTTTTTTTAAGATTTATTTATTCATGCATATAAGAACCAGGGTGCAGGCCAGATGTACAGGAGGGTGAGAGGATTCACCAGAGACAGAGCAAGAACAGAACAGCCAGACTGACTGAAATACACTGCTGAGGGGAGCAGCGGGAAAGACAGGAGAGGTCTGCTGTGCCATGTAGGTATCATCTCTGTGGCTGGCCAGGATCGAACCCACACTGCAGAGACTGTGGACAGTTTCACAGCGCTGTGCTCAATTGCCTGTGCAACCAGGGAGGCCCTTCATTCTACTTTTGATATACTTTGAAATGCAAAATTTAAAGATTGACAGAGAACATCTTATCAGAGTCCCACCTTAAATAATAATTTCAGTTAAAGCTCCATTGTCTGTGATCATTTGACAACTTATTTATGTTGGTATTACTTCAGTTCTGATTCTTGAAGATTTTCACAGTCTAGTCTAAAATGTTCCCAATGCCCTGTTTGTTTTTTTTTTTAGCTTTTATGCAAAATAAATCACATTGGTTTGAGAGCCACAGCTTAACTAAAATTACATTGAGCATTGAGGATAATAATGCATTATATAATGAACATGTAATCATTTCCATTTGTGTGGTTTAAATTCAGATGGAGCAGGGCCTCCCCTGCTGGCGCAGTGGTTGAGCACTGGGCTGAGACGCTGCCCGCAGCCTCTGCAACACCAGTTCGATTCCCGGCCACCAGCATGGGTCCCACATGGCGCGCAGACCTCGCTTGCCGCCCACTGCTCTCCTCAGCAGTGTATTTCGTCAGTCTACCTGTTCTGTTCCCCGCTCTGGTGAATTCTCTCACCCTCCCGCGCTTCTGACTGTACCTGGTGCTTGCATAAATAAATAAATAAATAAATCTTTAAAAAAGAAAAAAAAAAAGAAATTCAGATGGAGCAGACAGACATTACAAAATAGATAAGAGGTTAGTGCTAAATAATGGGAGTAAGATTAAGTGACCTAGAACTTGTTCGTTTGCTAGTTTTGTTTTGTTTTGTTTTTTAATTTTTTTTTTATGCATACAAGAGCTGGGATGATAGGCCAGGGGGGCGATGGGTGAGAGGACTCACCAGAGACAGAGCGGGGAACAGAACAGGCAGACTGGCTGAAATACACTGCTGAGGGGAGCAGCAGGCAAGACAGGAGAGGTCTGCTGCGCCATGTGGGTTTCTCCCTGGCCGGCTGGGGATCGAATTCATGTTGCAGAGGTGATTGCTTCATAGTGCAGTGCTTAATTAACCCCTTGCGTCACCAGGGAGGCCCTTGTATGTTTGCTTTTGAGGGCAAGGGAATGCATCTTTTGGTTTCTTAAAGAATGATTTCTGTACTTACACCTAATACTTGAAAATGAGCAGCTGTAAGACCTGGAAGCAAAATGTTTCAGGCCTCTAAAGTAAGTGAAGGCCTAACATCAAGATAAAATTGGTGAATTTATGACTAGAAGATTCATTGTGACTGTCACACATAAAGGAATTAAATAGCTGTGGTGATGATTTCACATAAGAATAATTAAATCTCAAAATATAAATGGGCTTATAAGCCGTGGTAAGAAATTTAGATACTAATTATAATGGAAGGAAGGACTGTAGATCCTGATTGTATTTTTTTTTCTTTTTATTTTTTTAAATAATAAATTTTATTTTTCTATTCCCCATACAATTGCAACCCCCACATTTTGACCCCAGTCCCTCCCTCCCGCCCCCCCCCCCCCCACCCCCCAAAAGTGTCTCTGGTTCATAGTTTTTTGTTGATTTTGATTTTCACTTTCTTATAGTTATTCATTTTCCTGGTCCCTTATTTAAGTTTTCTAGATTCCTGCTATGAGTGAGACCATCAGGTATTTTTCTTTATCTTTCTGGCTTATTTCGCTGAGCATGATCCCTTCCAGCACCATCCATGTTGCTGCAAATTGCATGTGTTTATCTTTTTTGAATGCTGAGTAATATTCCATGGTGTATATGTACCACATCTTCCTGATCCAGTCATCTATTTTTGGGCATTTGGGCTGTTTCCAAAGCTTAGCTATTGTAAACAGTGCTGCTATAAACATAGGAGTGCAGGTGTTCTTTGGAATTGATGTTTCTGTGTCCTTTGGGTAAATACCTAGGAGTGGAATTGCTGGATCATATGCACATCAACAAAAAGAAATATAAAAACCATATGATAGTATCAATAGATGCTGAGAAAGCTTTCAACAAAGTGCACACCCATTCATGATAAAAGCCCTTGAAATTCTTGGGATACAAGGAACATACCTCAACATCATAAAGGCCATATATGACAAGCCAACAGCCAGAATCATTCTCAATGGTGAAAAGCTGAAAGCAATTCCATTAAGATCTGGAACAAGACAAGGATGTCCACTCTCGCCACTGCTTTTCAATATGATACTGGAAGTCCTAGCCAGAGCAATAAGACAAGAGAAAGACATACAAGGAATCCAAATATGAAAAGAAGAAGTCAAACTATCACTATTTGCAGATGATATGATAATATACATAGAGAACCCCAAGGACTCCACAGAAAAACTAATTCATCTCATCAATCAGTTCAGTGAAGTGGCAGGATACAAAATCAACACGCAAAAGTCAAAAGCCTTCCTATACACAAACAATAAATCTGAAGAAGAACAAATAAAAAAAATCCCTTTTATTATCGAAACAAAAAAAAAAATCAAGTAGGGGCCTCCCCGGTGGCGCAGCGGTTGAGCGCTGGATTGCGAAGCTGCCCGCGGCCTCGACGGCGCCGGTTCAATCCCCAGCTGCTCCCCAGCCACCGGAGGAGGGTCCCACATGGCGCGCAGACCTCTCCTGCCGCCCGCTGCTCCCCTCAGCAGTGTACTTCAGTCCTTCTGCCTGCTCTGCTCCCTGCTCTGGCTCTGGTGAATTCTCTCACCCTCCCGCGCTTCTGACTGTACCCAGTGCATGTATAAACAAAACAAACAAACAAATAAAATAAATAAATAAAAACATGCCTCTATTTAAAAAAAAAAAAAAATCAAGTATTTGGGAATAAATCTAACAAAAGAGGTAAAGGACCTATACAAAGAAAACTATAAAACACTGTTAAAAGAAATAGAAGAAGACACAAAGAAATGGAAAGACATCCCCTGCTCATGGATTGGAAGAATAAACATTATTAAAATGGCCATCCTACCAAAAGCAATCTACAGATTCAATGCTATTCCAATCAAAATTTCAATGTCATTCTTCAAAGAAATAGAACAATTATTGATGAAATTCATATGGAATCACAAAAAAACCTGAATAGCCAAAGCTCTCCTGAAAAAAAAAGAAGGGAATGGAGGCATCACACTCCCAGACTTCAAACTCTACTACAAAGCCGTAATCATCAAAACTGCATGGTATTGGAACAAGAACAGACACACAGACCAATGGAATCAAATAGAAAATCCAGAAATAAACCCACAGATTTATGGTCAACTAATCTTCGACAAAGGAGCAAAGACTATGCATTGGAGCAAAGAAAGTTTGTTCAATAAATGGTGCTGGGAAAACTGGGTCGCTACATGCAAAAGAATGAAGCTTGACCACTACCTCACACCATACACAAAAATCAACTCAAAATGGATTAAAGAACTAGACATAAGACCCGATTGTATTTTTAATATAATCTATTTATTGAAAAGAGAAGATTAGAACTAAAGGAGAACAGTTAGAAAGCAGTTTAAAAAATTCACACTAACCTGGGGTTTAGAGAAAAGAGTCACACTGCAGATTGTTGTAAAACAAGATCTGAAATTCTGTGGATTTACTAGGAATTGGGATAAGGAGAAAAAGAAATCAAGAATGATTGCATATCAATTTGTTTTATGTGAGGTGTTTATTGACTTAAACTATCTCTCACTTCCGTAGTTTTCATTTATTCCTTTTATTGTTACTAATATCCTTTTAAGATCCTTTCTAGCCTGTAGTCCTACGCTCTACCAACTGAGCTATAGAAAGGGCGCATTTTAGGTCCTTCTTAATGAAATGTCAGTATCGAGATGTGCCTTTCACCATGGTAATATTCCTGTTTTCTATGTTAGAAATTTAAATTACATTTTCTTTTTTTGTGGTAATTGGCTTGTTGACCTTGAATAGATGAATTTAGTTGGCTTTCTGCTTAAATCGGTGAAAACAGCTTAACAGCTTTTTTTTTTAATTATCTTTTCACATTACATTCATGGATCTGTATGTTTTTCTGTATTCCATTTTCCCTCTGTTCATCTGTATTGCACATGCTTTCTTTTTTTTTTTTTAAGATTTTATTTTTATTTATTTATACAAGTACTGGGTACAGTCAGAAGCGCAGGAGGGTGAGAGAATTCACCAGAGCCAGAGCGGGGAGCAGAGCA